CATCATTTAGTGATTATTTATACTGTGTTAGCAGCTAATTATAGCAATAGTTAGGAATAATTGTGTTTTAAACATAATAAATTTTGATTATTTTGTACAATTTATGTTTTTTGGCATATTCCTATCTAATACTCTATATCAGCTGTAGGCATCCTACGGCACTAGTGCCATGCACGGCACTCGTGGTGTCTTCGCACGGCACTCAGGGCTGCTAGAGCCAAACAGGCTGTGGCCTATCAGGAGTCCCAGTGTAACTTCAGACATCTGCTAATACGAAGAGGTGGTGAAGCTCTCTCCTGGTGCTCCTCCTACCTCACCCAGCACTATTTTAGTGTTTCTTTCTTTGGCTCTGCCTCTTCCTCCCAACCTCTCTCTGTTGGTGTCCCCCAAGGCACAGTCCTTGGTTCCCTACTGTTCTCGATCTATACTGCCTCCCTTGGTAAACTTGGATCAACAGCATAAAAATTGTTGAACATGATTTAGTCTTTTTTTTTTCAAACTAGCCAATTATGTAACTAGTACGACTGATCTCAGCCAAGGAGGTGGGGCCAGCTGTGGATTTTTAACCCTTGCACAACCACCTAAACTGCGACTAGGACACTATATTTTTTCTAATTATAGAATAACATTTGCATTACAATCCAATAATTGCAGCCAGGGCACACATTGCAGTGGAGTAGAAGAAACATGGTTTCATTGCTCCTCCTTGACTGACAGGGAGCCAAGATTGAGGCGCCCTGTTACAGAATTATGAGATTTGGCTTTCTATTTTTTTTATTCTTTATTTTGGTGTGCAGGTGGTCACAATAGATTGACAGACGCCACAACAGCGTATTTCAAGTTGCATACAAGTTAGACAGTGGCATGATAATTTGCACAATTTTTATATTTAACATGCTTAACTAGACAGTTATTTTGTCCGAGTAGGGTTAGGTGAAATAAAATAGATCCTGGAACTGCAGCCTCTCTTCCAGTTTACTCCAGAATGTTGTGAAGGCTCTGTCCAGTCTGACCTCTATGTCCGCCCATATTGCTGTAGTGTCTGGGTTCCTCGTGGCTGGGCCGGCAGAGGTGCTCTTAGTTATAGCCCCTCTGTTCCTCGTGTGGTGTAGGTCAGAGTAGTCCCCCAGGGTTAGACCAGGATTACCCCCACCGGTCCAGAGGGGGGGTTGCAGGATACCTGCTCTACATGATGTGCCTCTGTGCCGCTTAGGGCTGGGAGGTCGGCCATCTCTCCCGCCTGGTGGTCAGCGGGCCGCATGGCTCCACGTGTGCCGCTCGTTGACTTCGGTGCAGCTTCTGTGCTCGGTAGTTTCTCGTTGCTCCGTGCTAAGGTAGGTGAGGCTTTAGCTGGGTTTTGTCTCAGGTTAATTTTGGCTAAAAGTCTCTTTTTCGGCAATGATAGTGAGGAGCTCATGCAAGATGCGTCTTTGCTGCTTGGCGGTCAGGCCCCGCCCCCCTGGCTTTCTATTTTTAACACCCATCTCACCACATATAGACATATCTCCCACCAGATTATCAAAGAGGACAATTTAATTTTAGGGGTGTGACCAGGGGCAGGGCTGTTACGAGAAATGCAAAGTAAGTTATGGATAATTTATCCAACTGAAATGTAATTTAGAACAAGAAAAATGTATCTTATTTCCACAGACTGATTTGTAAACATTTATTGTAATTTAAAGACACATTACTGGGAGTATTATTGCTGTGGAGCTCTGTTATACCCAGACACATTACTGGGAGTATTATTGCTGTGAAGCTTTGTAATACACTGAGACACATTACTGGGAGTATTATTGCTGTGGAGCTCTGTTATACAGTCAGACATTACTGGGAGTATTATTGCTGTGGAGCTCTGTTATACCCAGACACATTACTGGGAATATTATTGCTGTGAAGCTTTGTAATACACTGAGACACATTACTGGGAGTATTATTGCTGTGGAGCTCTGTTATACACTCAGACACATTACTGGGAGTATTATTACTGTGGAGCTCTGTTATACACTCAGACACATTACTGGGAGTATTATTACTGTGGCACTCTGTTATACACTCCGACACATTACTGGGAGTATTATTGCTGTGGAGCTCGGTTATACACTCAGACACATTACTATTAGGCCTCTAATGAAGATAGTTTGGTACTGCTGTATCCACAGGGCAAGTTGGTATGTCTGGTTATATTAATGAGCTAATCAATAGCAATGTGTTTTAATTACAAATACACACTTCAGAAATTGTACCAACAATCAATTTTACCTTCACTCAGACAGGTGTGCGTCATAGTTACATAGTTACATAGCTGAAAAGAGACTTGCGTCCATCAAGTTCAGCCTTCCTCAGAAATGTTGTTGCTGTTGATCCAAAAGAAGGCAAAAAACCTGGTCTGAAGCACTTCCAATTTTGCCACAAACTAGGAAAAAATTCCTTCTTGACCCCAAAATAGCAGTCAGATGTCTCCTTGGATCAATCAGCTATTACCCCACTAATTAGAAATTATATCCCTGTATGTTATGTTTTTGTAAGTATTTATCCAATTTCAGTTTAAACATCTGTAAGGACTCTGACAAAACCACCTCTTCAGGCAGAGAATTCCATATCCTTATTGTTCTTACTGTAAAAAAACCTTTTCTTTGCCTTAGATGAAATCTCCTTTCTTCCAGCCTAAATGTGTGACCTCGTGTCCTATGTATAACCCTGTTTATGAATAGATTTCCAGATAAAGGTTTGTACTGGCCCCGAATATATTTGTATAAAGTTATCATATCCCCTCTCAGGCGCCGTTTTTCCAAACGAAACAGATTTAATTTTTGTAACCTTTCTTCATAACTAAAATGCTCCATTCCTTTTATCAATTTTGTAGCTCGTCTCTGGACCCTCTCCAGTGCCATGATATCCTTCTTTAGAACAGGCGCCCAAAATTGCACAGCATATTCAAGGTGTGGTCTTACCAGCGATTTATAAAGAGGCCAAAGTACTATTCATTTACTCAGACAAGTATCCATCTTGTTACTTGCTGACACACTCTGCTTCCTTAGCCTCCGAGCACTTAGGTTAGTGTCTCCACTCCTTGGTTTAACATACTCTTTACAATTGTATATAGGTACAGGATCCCAGTGAGTAATTAAGCAATATTAGATACTCTATAACACCTTAGTGAGTTTCCCCTTAAATCTCACAAAAAACTGAAATATTCATACATACAAGGTGGAGTGTCTTTCTTTTAAATCTATAGATCGTTCTTAGACGTAGGTCATCCTAAAATAGAACGAAAAAGAGCGAACAATAGTGCAATATTGTCAATTGTATGAAATATAGTGCGAGAGGTGGGTGGAAATACACTCACAGGCGTGGATAAGGCTCAAACTACCAGCTTTGTGGGATATAAAAGGTTCCCACTTCCTTCTTTGTGTATATGGATGGTTCCTGGTAATTGATAGTTCTCTCAAATATGGGTCTGAGTATAAAGTGCTTTATTCTTAATAAAGTGCACAGAAAACAATAAAAGTATAAGTTCAAAACCTTACAGTTTAAAAGGTAAGTCCTTTATAAGGTGTCTGTAAGTCCTTTGTGGTGCAAAACGGTGGACACCACCTGGAAACCAACAATTATGAACCATTTAAAAGAAAACCCACAGACAGATCAACACTGCAGCAACTGAGGAAGCCACCTGGAGACAATATTGCACTATTGTTCGCTCTTTTACGTAACATACTCTTTAGTCGGGTGTTACTAGGCACCCCATTGTTGTACTAGTAGTCCTAGAATGTAGGACTGACTTAATCCTGACCCCATGGTTAGACAACACACTGCCCACCTTATCCTGAACCCACGGTTAGATAACGCACTGCCCACCTGATCCTGAACCCACGGTTAGACAACGCACCCCCCACCTTATCCTGACCCCACGGTTAGATAACGCACTGCCCACCTTATCCTGACCCCACGGTTAGATAACGCACTGCCCACCTGATCCTGAACCCACGGTTAGACAACACACTGCCCACCTTATCCTGAACCCACGGTTAGATAACGCACTGCCCACCTGATCCTGAACCCACGGTTAGACAACACACTGCCCACCTTATCCTGACCCCACGGTTAGATAACGCACTGCCCACCTTATCCTGACCCCACGGTTAGATAACGCACTGCCCACCTGATCCTGAACCCACGGTTAGACAACACACTGCCCACCTTATCCTGAACCCACGGTTAGATAACGCACTGCCCACCTGATCCTGAACCCACGGTTAGACAACACACTGCCCACCTTATCCTGACCCCACGGTTAGATAACGCACTGCCCACCTGATCCTGAACCCACGGTTAGATAACACACCCCCACGTGATCCTGAACCATGGTTAGATAACACACTGCCCACCTTATCCTGACCCCACGGTTAGACAACGCACTCCCCACCTTATCCTGACCCCATGGTTAGACAACGCACTCCCCACCTTATCCTGACCCCATGGTTAGACAACGCACTCCCCACCTTAATATTACACAGTACAAAGGAATCCCTTGGGTAATCTGGACCATAATTGGCAATAAATTTATTTATACTCAAAAGGTTTTAATTGTTTATCTCCACCTTGTAAAGTGTGTAAATAGAAAGGATTGTGTGTGTTTCCAATTCCTAGGAAGATCGCCCTTCATGCTTCTTTGTGGAAAGAAAGTGACGTTCTACACTTGGTTTAAAAGGCGCTACAGGGAAGGAAATATTAATTTTATGTAGAAAATATTTGAGGGGGAAAAATTAAGGCGTGAGAATTTCCAGTGCAGAAAAGGAATTTGGGGGACAGTGTGGAAATGAACGCCTTAAATACGGGGTTAATTGTGTGTGTAAAAACTTTGCCAAGGAGACAAGTTTTGAGAAAATTTAAAGCCTTTATATTTGTCCATCCCTGCACACCATTTTTTTATTATTATTTTTTTAACCAAAGTACAAACCCTCATAATGCGAGGTACACGTAAAACTCCAATACTCTGTGTTGCACCCTTACATGTGAATCTAGGGTAAGAAATGTTTGAACTGTATGTCTAGGCACAGTCAATGTTACAAAAACCAACACTGACAAAAGCTTAAAGATTATATAGTTAAAGAGATAGTGAGGCAATCGACAAAGCAGTCTATATACTCCCAGCTTATCACAGATCTAAGAAATGGTTTCTATATGATGTGATACTAGCACAGGCCAATACACATTCGCTTTATTTTACATGCACACTTTGCTTTGGGACCGATTCCAGATAAGGGCTGCCAATTTTGACTATTCTGGCCCATTTGCCTGTAAAATAATTTTACATGTAGTCTCTCTGCCTAGGGCCTGACAGTGAGATTTCCAGTAAGGGACCATTAAAAATCAATAGTTGCAAATGCCCGCTGATTTGATGCCAAAAAAGATGCCGGGGTACGCTACCCAAGCTAGGGGCACCCTGGTGAATCGCCTGATACCAGACACAAGCATTTCCCACATGCACAAACCTGAAGTGGCCCATGGCGACTTGCGGTGGACGGGGATGGGGGGGGGCGGCCGCTCTCCTCACCTTCAAGCCAGGGGTGCTGAGCCACTGATCGCCCGCTCCCCCCCCTCAGGACCGGTGGGGGTGATCCCGGTCCAACCTCGCCAGACAGCTTGGCAAACGCAGATGCAGAAAACAGGGCCCCACAAGCAACTCCTGGCCACACAGGCCCACAAAATGGCGGACACCATGTGCGACCACAATGGCGTCAGAGAGGGGACCGACATCCTGACACGGCTGGACGCCATCTTCGATGCCTTTTGGGCAAAACTGGCACACAGAGAGCGGCAGGGCAACATGCCAGCGAACCTACCCATAAAGAGACCCACATGTACCAGCCATAGCCGCGTTGTCTCCCGCCCGAAGGTAACCGCAAGATGGCGCCACCGCCATCGACGGAGACTTCTCCCGCCCGTTCGTAAGAGACTGAAACAAGCGGTGATGGCAGCCTGCAGGGACATACAGGCTCCAACCAAACCCCACATGAAACCAAGACACGTTAAGCAACCTCCGAGAGGTAGGCCCCCATCACAACACCAGAACCTGCCAACAACACGGGGAGATCCAGCGTACAAAACACCAACTACCTGCAACGCAACTACAGGTACCTATGGCAATAGGAGAACGGGCCCGACACCGGAACTAACACAGCAGAACTGTGCCCTACCCCAGAAGGACTTACATACCCAGCTAAAGCACTTGCACCTCTGCAGCCTCCCATTGCAGGGCATCGGCTAAAGCAGCATACAGAGATGACCGCAATAGCCAAGGGACACACGCAGTATCCACACCACATGGTGCCCTATAAACATACAGGGACATATTAAAGAAATATTGCTTTACTCAACCCTGAAATAGACATGCTTAAGAATAGCATGTTAAGTACATAGAAATGTGCCCTGCAATCACAGCTAGTGTTATAGTTCACACTATTGAACCTGTTTTCACCTTGTTTAATTTTTACGTGCCAGACTTAGCCAGGAATGTTTAGCCTGCACCAAACTTAGTGAGCCATGTAGAGACGGCTCCATACTCTCGGAACATTTATATGACAAGCGACATTTTATTATTGTTGGTGGTTTTTTTTTTTTCATGCCTAGTCCGCCTCTCAGAGTTACCAAAACATGATCCACAGCTCAGACATGAGGAACTAGCCTGTGCTCCCTGGTTACTTATTTTAATCGTATTACACCCAGCGTAGCACATTTAAACTTACATTGACGGCATGACCGCTCATAGCCAGACACTGCGATAGAAGTGTTTAGCTCAGTTATGTAATTTTATGTCCTAGCCTGCTTTATTGTTATAGTGCCCACTTGACGAAGCTGGTCTGTCAGCCAGGAAAGTCGCCTTTTGTTTTTATGAAGCCCGAGAGAAAACCTTGTTTACTTATCTGTTTAAAAAATGTGTGTAGTACCTCTATATTCCACAAACCTGTTTAAACGATGTTACCCACTCTACTTGTTATTGTTGTTGTGGCACAACAAGTGACTGTATTAACTGAATGCACCAAAAAATAAAGAATTATAAAAATCAATAGTTGCAATTATTTTATCTTATTTTCTTCTTAAGGACTGCTTTCTGTTTAGATCGTATGAAAGAAAAATTGAACTAATTATATCCCCTTTCTGCCATGTGGAGAATTTTTAATATAATTTCCAGTATTATAGGAAGTGTTCACACAAAAGTGATTGCAAAGGTTACGAGCCAAGTATGCTGCACCCCATCTTTCTTCCCAGGGGAGCGTATAACTACAGCAATTTGTTAAAATCATGCAGTACTGAACCTTTCCCCAGATACGATACATTGCATAGATTAAAATTAATTTAAGTACTAAATGGCAGTATTGAGCAGTGAAACTTCAGAGGCATGATCTATACACAAAAACTGCTTCATTGAGTGGCGGAGCCAACCTCTGACCTGCATGGCCGCTTTGTAAGCTAGCTCCGAGAGACTGAGCGCGCAATCCACCAACATGGGGCATCCCAAACGCTCATCAACTCACACTACCTCAAGCTAGCAGCCTGGGGGAAAATCAAGTGCTCTCACAAAGTATTTCAGAGACGCCGCCAAGCAGCTGTAACGAGAATATACCCCTACACGCAGGATCCAGCTAAACAGAGGCAAATACAGAGGAGAGATACGTCTACCGGACCTTAGAATGGCCGGACTCGACGTATATGAGAGGAGACAGAGCCAGGAACAAACCGAGGTCAAGGGCACAGAGAGACAGCGTAAACTAGGACAAGCCGGGGTCTGGTACACGGAAAACAGCAAGCCGGCAAACAGTACAGATAAGGATAAAGCGAAAACGAAGTCAGAATACGAAGCCAAAGTCAATACGAGAAAACACAACTGAACACCACAAGCGCTAAAGGGAACTGAAACAGAAACCACGATAGGGCAACGAGCTAAGGGAAAAAGGTAAGTTTAAATAGCTTTTAAACGAAAGTGATTGGCTCCTGTCACTTCCACACCCCCTATAGGTAATTGTACAGGGAGTGTGGTATGACAGGAGCCAATGGGAGCCTTTTGGCAATTAGGCTCCCACTGTCTCTTTAAGAGTGCGCCCGAGACTCGCGGCGCGCTCTTAGTTTCAGGCGGGACACGTGACCGCTTCACGCGGTCACTGCCCGCCTTCCATCTGAAGCAGTCAGATGAGCCGCGCGCGGCTCGTGCAGCCGCAGGACCGCGCGCGGCTTGAAGAGAGGACCGCGACCGGCCCCCGGTTAAGGTAAGTAACGCTACAGTACCCCCCCCTGAGGACACGCCCCCCGGGCGGGTAGGACCAGGCCTGGCAGGAAAACGAGAATGGAAAGAGCGCACAAGACGGGGAGCATGGACAGCATCAGCCGAAATCCAACTGTGCTCCTCAGGCCCATAACCCTTCCAATGTACCAAGTACTGAAGTCGACCCCTAAGGAAACGAGAGTCAAGAACAGCAGACACTTCAAACTCCTCATGACCCTCCACCGAGATAGGAGGGGGAGGAGGAGTATGCCGGGTATAGCGGTTGCGTACGAAAGGTTTCAACAATGAGGTGTGAAAAACATTAGGAATACGTAGATTCTTAGGCAGGCCCAAGGCATAAGAAACAGGATTAACCTTATGTATAATACGATAAGGTCCAATGAAGCGGGGAGCCAATTTCATAGAAGGCACCCGGAGACGAATATTCCGCGTGGAAAGCAAAACCCTGTCCCCCACAACATAGGACGGAGCTGCTCTGCGACGCTTGTCAGCCTGAGCCTTCTGGCGAGTAGCAGAGTCCACCAAAGAACGCTGAACCTGCTCCCAAGTATTACGCAAACCAGCCAAATGCTCATCCAGAACTGGCATGCCCTGTGAGGAGAATGCAGCCGGAAGAACAACGGGATGCTGGCCATAGACAACGTAAAAAGGGCTCTTGCCGGAAGAATCATGAGTGGCATTATTCCGAGCAAATTCAGCCCAAGGAAGCAGGTCAGACCAATTGTCCTGATGGTGAGACACAAAACAACGGAGGTATTGCTCCAGAGACTGGTTGGCACGTTCAGCAGCCCCATTAGACTGGGGATGATAAGCGGAAGAAAATGAGAGAGAAATACCCATTTCTGAACAAAAGGCCCTCCAGAACCTGGAAATAAATTGGCTACCCCTATCGGATACAATAGATACGGGAATCCCATGTAATCAAAATACTTCTCTAGCGAAGATATGAGCCAGTTCCTTGGATGTGGGCAACTTGCGAAGAGACACGAAGTGAGCCATTTTGGAGAACCGATCCACTATCATCAGGATCACTGTGTTACCATTTGAAGGGGGTAATTCAACAATAAAATCCATGGACAGGTTAGACCAAGGTCTCTCTGGAACGGGTAACGGATGCAACAGCCCACAAGGAACTCTACGGGAGGATTTCATACATGCACAAGTAGTACAAGCACTTATATAGTCAGTGACATCCTTTCGTAAGGAATCCCACCAAAAATACCGAGAAACAGCTGACACCGTTTTGGAAATACCAGGATGTCCAGCGGTCTTAGTATCATGATATAATGACATAATATCCCGTCTCTCAGGAACATCAACGAACAGTTTATCATTAGGCCTCTCGCTAGGTGCCATGCTTTGTTTCGCTTGTATGGCCTGCAAGAGGGACGAGGAAATAGACAAAATAGTAGTAGCTATTATCCTGTCTGGGGGAATGACAGGAGTAACATCAATCTCCTGTTTGTCAGTAGTTTCGAACTGTCTGGAGAGAGCGTCTGCTTTAGTGTTGCGATCACCTGGCCTATAGGTGATAATAAAATTGAAACGGGACAAAAATAGTGACCACCTAGCCTGCCTGGAAGACAATCTTTTGGCTTCGCTAAGGTAGGATAGGTTCTTGTGATCCGTAAAAATGAGGATAGGATCCTTAGTTCCTTCTAACAAATGTCTCCACTCTTTAAGTGCTAAAATAATAGCAAGGAGTTCGCGATTACCCACATCATAATTTTTCTCTGCTTTGGACATTTGTTTAGAAAAGAAGCCGCATGGATGCAATGGCTTCTCAGGCGACTCTCTTTGGATAAGACAGCACCTACCCCAATATCCGAAGCATCAACTTCAAGAATATAGGGCAGTGAGGGGACAGGATGCTGTAAGATAGGTGCAGAGGCGAACGTAGTTTTAAGAAATTCAAAAGCCTGAAGTGCCTCGGTAGACCAAACACGAGTATTGCCATCCTT